AGACAGGGCTCCATTGTGCCAGTCTTGCACCACACATGTATTTTGTATAAATCTATAATATATAGATAGTAAGGCACATTCCCTGGCTTAAAGAACTGACAACATAAACAAACTTGACAAAGGGATGGGAGAAACTAAGAGTGATCATCCCCCACTTTACAGGTGAAGAACTGCAAGACAGTTCAGCACCTTGTCTGCGAAGCCTGTGGCTGGGCAGTCAGCCCAAGTCTTTTGAATCCTAGCCCACAGAACAGGGTGGCTGATTTAGAGCCGCATGCTACCATAGTCATAATACCCAGGCTTGCCAGGGCTTAGCTACAGTCAAGAGCAGATCCAGGGGGAATGAAGTGATGCAGTTGCACCCCTTTTTCTTTCCTGGTCCACCCAAAGTTTAAACTGGCAGTGACAGCAGCACTTCTATTGAGGCAGCAGGGAGGCAGATCACTTGACTTAATGGCTCATTATTATCTGCTTGATTCCTTCTAAACTCTTCATTCCACAAGTATTAAGATCATTAAAGGAGGAGGGAGGGTCCTTAATGTTTCACCAGTTAAGGTATTCTTTCTTCTGCAAATCTGTTGTCTGGTAGCTGCTCCTGGTAATGTAATTCCTATTTTATAGCCCTGCAGACTGTTTTTAACTCTAGCTAAAAACATTAACTCAGGTGAATATTCACTCAGGTATGAAAATAACTTCCAGTGTACTGGAAATGCACAGGGCAGTGCACTGTTAAGATGCTCAAGGAGGCTTGATTTTGCTTTATAAAGATGTACATTTAATTCTAATGACTACAGGACTAAAGAAACAACATATTTTGATTAATTTTGTCTGGGCTGTTCTGTTTTATAACACGTGTGATATAGCAAATTAATGTACATGCTAATAAAAGTTATATTTGTTTTGATCTCAAATTGAATAAGATAGCCCAGACCTTTAGCTTAATGGTAAAGCTCCTAGTTTCTTTTTATCTGGAGAAAAATATATATTGTGTTATATGGGATGATGTATCAGATCATCTGTACCCCCCTTTTAAAAACCTTAGATCCACCCATGGCTGCAGATACAACAGGCACCCAAATATAGACAGAAACTTGGTGCAGATTTTGCTTGCTGTTCCACAAAGCGTCAAAAAACAGGTTGCATTCTTTACCTAAGACAGACAGGGTAAAACACACGGAAGAGTTATTTCTGCTCGTTCAGCCCATCTGAATGCACACCCACACAGGCTATTGATCTACATGTTGGAGAATATTTTTTACCCTGTTGTTTTTCAGACCAGAGTCTCACCTGAAGAGCTAAAACAGAAGAGCCTGGAAATTAAAGCCATGATCAACATTTACTTCTCAGTTAGTTAAAATGCCCCAGTACTTGATGTTTCCATAGCACTGAAGGAATTTAGCATGAGCCAGAAGCTTTATCAACTGTTGTTTGCTCCGCACCCTTTTTCCCCACAGCAAGAGCACCTTTCCAAAGGGACATGACCTTGTAGTGAAAACAAACAAAAAGACAGAAGTACTGTGTACTCCACTTACATGCATACCTTGCTTAACAGTGTAACAAAACACCAATCTCAATTTTTTGCCTGCTGCTTACATTGTAACAAACATCAATCATCTCTGTATTGGTTATGGACATAAGTCACTTAAGGGCATAGCATCCCTTAGCCTCAGTCTACTTTGGAATGTAACTGTACTCTGTTTAACAGCAAAAAAAATGGGGGTCAAAAACAGAAAGCGAAACAGCTGTCATAGGGTGACTGTTAAGAGCCTGGACGTTGATGGGAACTAGTTGGTTTCACCACTGAGATCTCCCCTCATTTGCAAGACTTCTAATAAATGGCCCAGAAACTATCTCCTGTCACTTCCAAAGCATCTAATAGTAGCCATACTGATTAGTTCCCATCATTTTGAGGTTTCTAATAGCAACTCCAAAACTCAATTTTAGAAGCCCTGAAAACGACAGGAGTTAGTCAGTCTTGGGGTAGCTAAGAGCACACAGCAGAAACAGCAGTGTGTACTGAAGGAGTATTGCTTATATTAAGTTTGGAAGCTCTGGGTAAGCATATTGGCTTTATATGGACCTGAGGCTATGCATTTAGAGCATGCTGTGTCTCTCTTTTATAAGGACTTTAAGCATGATTCTTCACTGCCTCAAAGAGTCCTTAACACCTGTGCCAAGTGGTTGAATACTTCACACCAAGCTAAAGTGCCTGGGCCATAAATCGAATGTATTCATTTCCCTGCAGGAAACTGAAACCACCGTACAAGAGCCAGCTGGGACAACTCTGGAGTTGCCTTGTTCTTCTCATTCTCCTCTGCATGATGCTTCAAATTGTGGAGAAGCTACAATCTCCCAGGTAGGTTCCACATAAAACACAAGGTGCTTCCCCCTCAGAACTTTTTAGGGGTCAGCTTAAGGCAGGTTCTGTCCAAATGCTGCCACAAAAACCACCAAAAAAAGTTCCCATCTTCAGTTCGATCCAAATTCTCAAACCCATTCCTTTTAGCTGGTCCCAGGCCCCTTTGGGGTCACCTTTCAAATACATCCCAGTGAACGGCAGGCAGCAACATTTGACAAAAAAGCGAAGCTTACACATTGAAGAATATGAATCTCACATTTGATCTAGGCATTTATACATGTCCTTTTTTTTCCCCATGAAGCACCAGAGATCCGCCACTTCAGAGCAGACTCAGTTAATCAAGTCTGTTCCGCACATGAGCCAAGGTGAACTGCGCTGCGCTGTATGCAGTTGTATACATGGCAAAATGTGTGTCAGCGCACAGAAAATGGCAGTGGTACGCTTTGAACTAAAGCACCTTCGAGGTATTTTAGTCCAAAAGTGCGCCACCACCATTTTCTCAGCACTGATGTGCATTTCACTACTTATATAACTGCACGCATCAGTGCCAGGTGCTTTGCATGTGCATGTGTAAAAATGCCCCTGGTTTTAAGAGCTACTTGCTCACTCAAGAAACAGAAGCAAGGCATTCAGCTTATTTGTCCAGTGCAAACTGTTTGAATTGCAAATACCAGGCACATGCACCAAACCAGTTGTAAACAAGCTACAGACCAACCATTTCACACAAATCTGAAGAAATCATGACTCTTCAAGAAATTTACAAAGAGAAGAAAAACCCATTAACTTATTCATCTGGCTCTTCTTACTGCTTAGCACATTTGAGCCATACACAGTTCAGGATACACAGTGCCATGATATCCACACTCTCCAAGTCACTCACAGCTTCTAAACACAGTAAGATTCTTCATATCACAGACATTCGTCATTTCCCACTAGATTGTGACTAAGATCTAATCCCATATCATAGTAAACAACAGTCAGAGTAAGTCCATAAGGCCAGATGAGAAGAGAAAAGCTTGGGTAACCTGATAAAGAATGTCTTGCCTTCCAAACCTTGTCTAACTCTATCCCAATTTCATAGTTGATCTGATAAAAAAAATATCATTGAAAGAAATTCTTGCCTCTCCCATAATTGCTCTGCCAACATGGCTACATCATTCTTAAACTACCACAAAGTTTAAGGGCAGAAAGGAAGATGAGATCATCAAGGCTGACTTCTTGTGCATCACAAGCCATGCAGGCTAGTCCTCAGGGCTAGAGACAGACATTCAAAAAGCCTGAGTCTAAATTGATTCAATCTTTGCAGGTTAGTCTAACCTGCCTAGGTTGAACTGGTTTGCAAGTGCACAGACATTCCCCCTGGACTAAGGATATGCAGGCACATGCCTGCAGTGGTTCAGGCTAGAAGCCAGGGGACACTAGAGTATCCCTCCCTTTCCTTCCATGGTGCTGAGCTGGAGGGAGGAGGGGGAGCGCTGGCCGGGCCCCAGTACAACTTAGGGAGGGTTTTAAACCCCCATCCTGTTTACACAGTCCCAGGCTTTTCCCCGTCACTGCTCAAGGAGCAGGAGTATTGCCAAACCTCAGCTCCAAGCTATCACCCTGAGGTGAAGGGGGTGTGGGGAACGCATGCATCTATTGATGATACTAAGCTTTTCAATCTCCCTTTCCCTGCTTCTTCATGCTGTTTGCAAATTTGACAGGCAAGGGAGCCAGCAAGGAACTGATAACACAGCATTTAGCAGCCCACTGAGCAAACAAAAGCCTTTCTTAGTTCAAGCTCTTCTTAAACAGCTTTTTTCAAGGAAGAAGGGAAGGAACATTACCAGCTGACCTGTTGATTAGCTCCAAAAAGCCCTAAGCAGATACTGTCCTGTCTGCCTTTGTCCTGTGCCAGTGAAATTGGAGCCACACCCGCACAGACTCCTCTCAGCATTAGCTAGCATACCACATACTGGCTAAGGTCCATGGGGCTGGGGTCCGTGCTGTGGGAGATGGGAGAGAGGGAAGGGGGATCTCTTCTTGAGCAGCGAATGGCGAGGGGGGTGGGGAAGGGGAAGCCAGGCAGACCTTCTGTGCCTGCAGTCTCCACGAGAGCTGTAGCTAGGGAGCAGAGGGGCAGGGCCAAATCCCAAATCAGTTAAGACTATACTACATTCAACCAGGTTTATCCTAAACCAGTTTCAGCCTTTTGCAACTGGCTTATGTGCACTGAACTTCTGTTCTGTTACAGGTTTAAACCAGTTTCTGATCACTTGAACTGGTTTGTGTGTAATGTCTGTCCCTAGCCCAGGAGTCTAAACAGTGCTACAGACAGAAAACAGGAGAAATGAAGGTTCCACCAGTGCCTTTGTTCATCCTGTAGTATCTAGGTAGAAGTCTTACTTGGAGCATATGGAAGCTGGGAAGGCTGGATTGGTTTAGATCCCTCGTCAGGGGATAGTAGATAGAGCTGGAAGTTTAACAGTTGTAGCTGGGAGGTAACTGAGAGCTTGTCTATGGCTGTAAGATATTTCAAACAAGGGAGGTGACATATACATGGGTTTGACAACTTGCAATGGGTTTCAGTAAGATTAGAGAGAACATTCTGGTATGTTCTTATAGAACACGTATCCAAAAAAGGTCCCCACATTAACATTTTCCCTTCTACAGCAATTGCAGGTGTGATGAGAAACTCAAGAGACAAACTCTCCAGAAAACCATAGGCAATGAGACCTTGTTCCAGCCTGGAAAGGGACCAAACTGCAACCAGACTCCCAACCTCCCAGCAAGTGATATCCCACAAAACAGTCAGAAGAAAGCTCTGTCCAACCTTGGATCAACTGAGAACATACTACAAATACTGAAACTGAGACAGGCTTTTGGCAAAACAAAACTACTGGACAGAAGCTTAGACGGCCAAGAAGGATTTTGGAAGAAACACCAAGAAGAAAACGGCAAGAAGCCATGGACCAGTCGTGCATCCAAGAAACTGAAATCCCAGCCCCTGGTATCCAAAAGGGCACCAAAGAGTGGCTATGTGGGTAGGACTGTGATTCCTCAAAGCAGGAAGCCCAGAACTACTCAAAAGGCTGCAGAGCCCTTCAGCAAGAAACCAGTATTTACAAACAGAGTTGCGGTAAATGAGCAAACTGCAAAGGCAACATCTGCACAAGCTAGAAGGTCATTACAAGGCCAGCCCCGAAAAACAAGCTCCTACAGCCTGGGAAAAGACAGTGCATTTACACTGGCTGCAATACCTATCCCCAAAACACCCAGGGTCTCAAAGGCAAAGGAGCCACCTGAGACTGCACCATTAAGGATGGAGAGGGAATCATCACCAAGCAAGATAGTAGCCCCCCAAGCAGGAGGAACAGTTGAAGATATAAAGGGAGACAACTGGCAGACACTGGGCAACTCTTCTGATGAGGCAGCCTGCAAGCCCAAAACCCACATTGTTTTCCTGAAGGTACACAAGAGCGCCAGTAGCACTGTTATGAACATCCTGTTCCGCTTTGGCGAGACACGCAACCTCACATTCGGCTTCCCATTTAATGGTGCCAGTCAGCTGTTTTATCCCCACTACTTCGCTGCAGAGTTCGTGGAGGGATTTGTTGCTGGGCAAGCTTCTCAATTTAACATCCTGTGCCACCACATGCGGTTCCTGCCAACAGAGGTAAGGAACAAACCTCCAAGAACTCAGTGAGAAAATAAGCAGGGAAAGAGGGAAGACAGTATTGAGATATAGGCAGGACAGCTCTCTGGGCTGATGATGAGCTGATCCATGCTGAAGCTAGAGATACTTCACTGTCCCCTGAAGGCTGCTGGCAGCTACTTCTCACACATCAGACCTGGAGAGCCTGCCTCATAGAGATCCGGGTTTGAGGCTATGTTCTGCTGCTGGGAGAGAGAGGTTTCAGAGGCAAACAAGGCTGAAATGATCAAGCTTAGCACCATTATTTGATGCTGGTCAGGGAAGTTCAAATAGTGCACCCACAACACAAGCCTACCACCCCAGCTGGCATCAACACCCACAGACAGGGAAAGCAAGCTGCCCCTTCCCATTTGGCATCGAGTCTTCCAGCTTGAGCCTGGCATGTTGGCAGAGCTATATGGGGAGACTTCCATTGCTGTTGTCCATTTTGTCACTGCTCTGTAAGCAAACACAGGACACTCCAAGTTTCCACCACTGCCAGCAGGGCTCCCCATCACAAGCACAACCCTGGAACTGGGTTTCAGCATATTCAGTAGTTGCTCAGTAGGCCTTAAAACCCTTTTTTCCAAAGCAGTCTAATCCCCAGCACCATGTGGACAGGACTTGTTATCTTTCTCTCAGTCTACAGTACACTACTGATTTCAAGTTAACCCTTCTGTGGAGATGGCAGTGTATACTACAGTGGGAGAGTAGGCTTCTCTCTCCTTTTTTCCACTCCTTTGAGTCTTCTTTCTCCCAATCCCACCTCCAGGTGCAAAGAGTGATGCCCAGCACCACCTTCTACTTCGCCATCCTGAGGAATCCCATCCACCTCATGGAGTCATCCTTCACCTACTACAAAGGGACATCCGCCTTCTTCCACGCCAAGAGCCTGGAGGAGTTCCTCCAACAGCCATCCAGGTTCTACAAGGCTGGAGACTCTGACAGCCAATATGCTAAGAACCTCATGACTTTTGACTTTGGCTTCAATCACAATGGGGAGGCATCTGCCAGGCACGTGCAGCTCATGCTGCAAGCCATTAAGACAGCGTTCAACCTTATCCTGATCTCAGAGTACTTTGATGAGTCCATGGTGCTGCTAAAGGAGGCGCTGTGCTGGGACCTGGACAGTGTAGTCTCCTTCCCACTCAATAGCAGAGATGGAAGCACTCGGGCACCCCTTCCAGACTTCACTGTGGAGAAGATAAAGAACTGGAACAAGCTGGACTGGGAAATCTACACACATTTCAACCAGACCTTCTGGGAAAAGATTGACCGAGACATAGGCCGGGAGCACATGAGCCAGGAAGTAAGAGCACTGCAGAAAAGACGGGAGCAGCTGGCAAGGACCTGCCTGCAAGAAGGAGAGAGTGTAGCACCTCAAGAAATCAAGGACCGGTCCCTGCTGCCGCTACAGTATGGCCAAGCCAGAATCCTAGGCTATAACCTGAAGCCAGGGCTGGACAAGACGACAGAACAGATGTGCCGGCGCCTCATAACTCCTGAGCTTCAGTACAGCAGGTCTCTGTATAGCAAACAGTTCCCTCAGAAAGCCCTGAAGGGCCACAGACCAGCTTCTATGCCCAGAAAGCACAACAGGAGGACAGTATGAGGTAGGCAAAGCTTATGCACCTGCCAAGCCTGA